TCAGGTAAAATGCACATTTCAAGACCAGGAAATAATAGCACAAAATATCTCCACTATGAGGCCAAGAGAATTGGGGTTGTTCAGCCCGGAGAAGAGATACCTCCAGGGAGACCCTGGAGCAGCTTCCAGTGACTATAGGGGCCAACAAGAAAACTGGAGAGTGATATTTGACAAGAGCAAGTAATGACAGGACAAAGGGGAATGGCTTTAAACTGACAGAGAGGAGATTTAGGTTAGAAATTAGGAAGAAGTTGTGAGGGTGGTGAGGCGCTGGCACAGGTTGCCCAGAGAAGCTGTGGCTGCCCCATCCCTGAAAGCGTTCAAGGCCAGGTTGGATGGGTCTTGGAACAACCTGGTCTAGTGGAAGGTGTCCCTGCCCATGGCAGAGGGTTGGAACTGGATGAGCTTTAAGGTCCTTTCCAACCCAACCCATTCTGTGATTCTATGATTCTAATATCTTATGTGTCCTTTCCAAAATAAGGGCCAGTGTTTATGAACAGCAATTGGATTTTTTATGCTGTAGGTTTGAAACAGGATGGATAGTGAGAGGAAGGAAGGAAGGAAGTTCCATCAATCCTGCTTTACAGCCAGCGAGACTTAAGGCATGCACAGGCTCATCCGGGATCTCAGCCATAGGATCAGTTAACCCGGATTTTAGGGACCCCATGCATGAATTCAAAGAATTTCTCCTCAAGAATGAACAGTAGAACAATCTCAGGAGAGGGGGCATGCTGTGAACAGCCTGTCATAAGGCACGTAGGGACAGCTTTGGAATGAAGATGGTTTTTACACACTTAGTCTGATGGTTGTCAAGGGCCAAGCCTGTGGTCACAGGAGTGAGCTGAAGCAGGAACTCTAGTAGAGGTTTTCCTCTGCACATGAACAATTGAGGGAAGCTCTGCCGTTTTGAGGAATTTCCGAGGACAGTAAATTACATACTAGATCGCAGCTCTATTATGTTTTTGGGGAAGGCATTTGGAAATTAATGTTTCATATTAAGATACAAATGGTGAATACATACAGCTCTGCTGCTCATGGGAATCCTCAAACCTGGCCTTCCACTGCATTGTCCCTCCTGTTGAAGTGGGTTTAAGCGGGACCTCAGTTGACAGCAGCCACCCATGTAAGCAGACCCTCACTGTCTTCATGCTTCTTTTCTCTGCTGCCAATCAAGGATGGTACTAAACACTCTGAGACAGGGTGTTTAGAGGCAACCTGGGGCAGGAATAAGCCATTGCTGCTTGCACTAATAGTCTGATAGAGCAAGAGCTGTAGAAACGCCTCAAAGGCAAATGAGACACAGCTGTCCTTTCAGCTAGAAGGAAGGATTTCAGTGCCAGGACTGGTCAATTTTTGGTGATCTTTGAGTTCTTCCTAAAACAAATATTATTTTGTGTAAATCATAGAATACTTAGGGTTGGAAAGGACCTTAAGATCATACGGTTCCAACCCCCCTACCATGGGCAGGAATGCCTAACCCTAGACCATGTCGCTAAAGGCTCTGTCAAACCTGGCCTTGAACACTGCCAGGCAGGGGTGGAGCATTTACCACTCCTTTGGGGAACCTGTTCCAGTGCTTCACCACCCTCACAGTAAAGAATGAAATCAGCTGATTGAGATGACACAAGGCAGTTAAAGGTTTTTCCTGGGCTGGGAAAAACCTTCTGTTTATTCAAAAGCATCTAAAAGGTGGGCTAGATACCCTGTTGTGGTGGATTGACCCTGTCCTACAGCTAAGCACCCACACAGCCACTGACTCCCCAGCTGCCAGGGGGATTAGGGAGAGATTAGGAAGAGAAAAAGTGAGAAAAGTGGTGGGTTGAGATAAATAGAGGCTAATAAGAGAAAGAAAGGAAAGAAAAAAGTGATATGAAGGCCATCACAAATCCTCTCCCACAACCAGAAAGTCTCCAAGCAATGGCCACATTGGAAGACAACCGTGTCCCCATCATTATTTATTATTGCTGAAGATGATCTTATATGGTTTGAAATAGCCTATTTGTGAATTGGAGTCAGCTTTCTCAGCTGTAACCCCTCCCAGCATCCAGCCCACTCACTACAGAGGCAGAGTGGTAAGAAAAGAAAGCCTAGATGCTATGCAAGCACTGCCCAGCAATAGCTAAAACACTGGTGTACAAACAACACTGCTGTAGCCACAAATCCCAAACACAGCACCTTATGGGTGGCTATGAGGAAGGTTAACTCCATCCCAGCCAGACCTAGTACACCCATCTTGTTTGGCTTACTCAGAAGGGAGTTATGACAGAGAGGGGAGGGCTTTGGGGGAGAACTCATTACAGGCTTCTGCAGGGGTAAACTGAAGTTTGGAGAAAAGATAGGGACTGAGAGCACAGATGGTGAATTAAGGTTATAACATCCATGTCATGTCATGGGGTGGTTGTCAAAGTGAAACCTCACTTACAGGCCACCACCATCAGCAGACAAGCCTTCAGATAAGGCTGCAAATGTAGTCAAAAATTCCTTAACAAAGTCCATTGGTGCAGCATTATAACATGCAAATATAGTGCTGTTAATACTAGACAACCACTAGAGCAAATTAGCTGCTATGCAAGAACTGCAGAAGACATGGAGCAAATAATTCCTTTGTCAGAGAGAAACAAGCCATTACAAACCCCCTTTTCAAGCTCTTTCCCTTGCTCCCTGTTCCTGAACACCTACCTTGTGCCTTCGCTCTCACACTCATCCCTAAACCAACCCCTCCAGCCCACTGCAGGGTCACCATCACAGCCCCCCAGTTTCTGTCTTTGCCCATCACTGACTCAGTCCTTGTGGAGGATGCTGCTGAGCACAGATAAGGGGGACAAGCTGCTGCTTTGTTACCACACACACCAGATGTTGGATCAAATCAGTTGATGGCTGGTAACTGCTCATGGGCAGGCTGAGCAAAAGCAGGATCGTTTGAGAAATAAACTGTTTAATTATGCAAGTACAGTGGGCAGCTCACAAATGACAATGGGACCCCTCTTTGAGATCACAGCCCTGAGGAACTCTTTCCTAGAAAACTAGAAATGGTTTTCTGAAAGGTATTTGGGTTTATTGTATCTTGGTCTTAAAAAGCCATGATTCCCACACAAGGTGGAGGTGAATTCCAGCAGCAGATAATTTTAGTTTCAAGTTCAAGTACATTTCATTTATGATGTGCAAGCATAGCCCCAAAGCTACTGATGCCCTCATGGGTGATACAATGCCTGCCTACTGCAAGCCCTTGTTTCTTCTGGGAAACTGTGGGTTGCAGCCATGAACGGTGACAGCATCAGGGAGGCTTTCTTGATCAAGATGAATGGGTTAAAAAAGGAACTCTAGTAAAGGCTGCGCTGCTCTTTTGTGTTTTAACAATAAGAGGAAGCTCTGCCTAGTTTGAGGAATTTCCCACGTCTCCAATTCAGACTTTGGTAAACTGCTTTAAGAAGCCTGTCTAAGAGGTGTTAAAAAAATAAAAATAATCAAGGAGACGAGGACAAAGATATCTCCCCAGAGCCTGCGCATGTTCCGTTGGGTTTTTAAACCTGGATCACAGGAGGCAAACTCAGAGGAATCTAGGGAAGTTAAATAATGACAAATGCCAAATAGTCACACCAGGTTCCTGCCAAGCTGGCCAAGCCATTACTGAGTTCAGTCAAGTGTCACTGCTATGCAGATGCTAAAAATTTGCCCCTAAACTTCGTTGCATATCACTTCGTTCTGCAGAGCTACCAGACATCACCAGGCAGATTCAGTGACAGAAACAGATGAGGAGTTTTCTGGATGACAGGAAGATCTATGGGTTTGAGAAATGCCACTTTCGCCATGCAACAGCAGATGATGGAGAAAGTTAAAATGCAGCCTCAGGCTTTCAAATTCACAACATCTTTTCACTTGCTGTTCCCTTGCCTGTTACAAGATAATTGCCTCCCATAAAACTGTCACTGAAAGCAATAGTTACAGCATTCAAACAGTAACAGATTTCTTCCCCAGATCTGAAAGCTCCTTATGCACCCAGGTGACCATCACTTTCTCACTGATGGGAGAGAGAAACAAGGTTGAACAAGGTCAAACCACAACTGTGTTTTTTCTGAATGACAATCATTTAAGCATCCAGTAGATACTGCTGTACCAGACATGTTTGGATGGAGCGGAACTTTCAGGATTAGGGGCATTGTTGGAGGTGAAAGCATCAGAAAGCATCCCTGCATCCCGCCTGACACAAGCACTGGAAACAGCACTTCAGCACTCGAACATAACACTGTAAAACTGGCTTTCATTTAAGCAGCTCAAAACACAGGTAGAAAAGAATAGAAACAAGATAAATGTGACACTCAAAAACGTTACAGAGCAGTGTCTCAGCCTGTGGCCATGGCTGCCCCAAGTTCCTCTCCCTTGTCAACAGGCATCACCTTATATGAAACTGAAGGGGTATGCAATAAATTGTTCTTAAAAGGAACAAATCCACCATTTTATACAGCTGACAAAAATACATTGCCTGTTACCTGCACTGCAAATCCCAGCCACTGTGGCTAAAAAGCAAAGTGAGAAAAGTACAAATGCTTTTGCAGTTCATCTGTTTGGTTTTTTTTTCTGAAACTAGGTAGCTTGCTGTAGGGGGTAATAAATGCAGTCCAGATAAGCACAGCGTTTCCATGCACATCTCTCTTTACCTCTGCAGCCCCAAGCTTAAACTAGATTAACCATAGCCTCTATTAAAATTCACTAGCCAAGCTAACAGGTACAGGAGCACTTTGACAGTGTCTGGATGGCTGAATTCATACCCTCACAAGCCAAAAGCATCCTACAGAAAACTGTCAACTAATCACCACAAAGTTAAACACGTGCCAGTCGCATGTCTGCCAGTAGGAACCTGCAGCAGGTTTACTAGTCATGCAAAGCTCACACTTCAATGTCACAAGCTGGCCCCAAAAACTTCTCCAATCAGCCTTCACCTGCCCCAAACAGCTAAAACGCACGAGGAAACCCATGCCACATTTCACACGCATCATCCATACCTGTAGGGCAACAAATACTGTTCGTGTCCCAGCCGCTTCCAAACCTGTCCTCCTGTGCTGGGAAGGGAACTTCCCATCTAAGTGTAAATCCTGCCTCTGTCTCTGCCCTTTGTTTTCCCAAGATCTGGAGACACACCTGCTTTTCCGTGTGTGCTGTTGGTTGTCGGGCTCGGGGCTTGTTTCTTGTTTTGCTTTTCTTTTTGGAACAAATTAAACAGCCTGTGAGCAATTCTCAGTAAACGAGAGAGCGAACCTTTTGGCTTGTGGTGATTTAATCAAGCAAACCCCGTGACCTCCCTTTCCTGCGATCAGTGGGAACAGCTCCCTTCTCCACCAGCACGGGGTGGAGTTGCAGCTAAAAAACACAAGCCTGAAAACGCAGCGCTGGATGGGCAGGGCAGATCTTCCTTCTCCGTTTGTTGTGTCAGAGAACATGGTGATTCCTGCTGGTCCGAAACACCGAGGTGACCTCTAGCCAGGAAGGAACCTGGGAAATATTTTCTCAGTGATTTCCTGCTGTGGAGGGGGGGGAAAGTGGATGCAAGAGACACTTGGGCAGGGGTGCTAACAGGGCTACTGGGGACTGCAACTGCAAGATGAGGAAAACGCTTTTTTGGTCATCAGGGAACTAAAAAATTGCTATTTTTTTTTCCTAAGGTAAATGTTCTAAGATCCTCTGCTGTCACTATGCACAGTGAGCTCAGCTGTGTGGGTGCTTCTCCGGCTTTCAGCTGTTGTGCCGTTCACGCCAAGAGGTGCTGAGATGCTCTGTAAATTAATGTAGGAGAGCCTTTCCACAGGGAGCTTGTGTTCAGCAACACCCCAGTGATGTAGCCATGGCATAAAGGATTCTTGTCAAGGTGCATAAGAAATCTGGGCAGGCTCATGCATCCAGAAGGACATCTATGCCTGGAATAACTGCCAAACTGTGCTGTACAGGCCCAGTTGTCTCACACTGGGGCAATCAGAGTGGGACTTTCATGCACTAGCCAAAAGACTGCACCCCAGGAACATGGGGATGGTTCCCCATGGCTGAGTCCCAATTACGGTGATAAAATGAAGGAACTGTAATGGTCTCCTTTCTTTTATCTCTCCTGGCTTTGCATCACCTCTGATGTTCCTGCAAGATAACACTTGCAAGTGGTACATCATCAGCCCATCAGATAGCAGAGGGCATGTGCCATCTGTGGTGAGTATTGGTCTCTGGAAGTATCAGCATCTCCTTCTTCACTGTAGAAGTAGTTGAGAACAGCTAGTTTCTCTGTGTTTCAGGGTCTGAGTGTAGTCTATCGGAACCATCCTTCTGAGGCTGTCTTCACATGGAAAGTTGTATATATGATAATGGACTCTACAGCTAAAATTGTCCTTCTTTCTGGACACAAAAAGAATTTATTTTAGTAATTTGGTATCTCCATTCAGGATCACTTTTTAGTTACTTTATTGTGATCCAGTTCATACTATAAAAACAAGAATGGACATTTCACTGCTGAATACATCTCATCCACATGCTCACTGACATACACTTTTATTTTCACAGAGAGGGAGAGAAAGAGACAGAGAAGGAGAGGTGTGCACCCCGTCTTTATGTGCTTTTGATTAATGAGTGTCATCCGTATTTCTTACATTTAATGGCAGCCTTTATATGTAACAGCAGCCACTTCATTGCAGTGGGCTTTTCAGTTTCATTTCATTTGGTCTGGCTAGAGCTATAAGTTTTATTCCTGTCCATCTCCTTCTGCTGTCTGGGATAAGTAAAATATGATGGTTGGGGCATCTAGGAAAGAAAATCATATTTACAGAATAGTTAGGGTTGGAAATGACCTTAAGACCATCTAGTTCCAACCCCGCTGCCATGGGCAGGGACACCTTCCACTGGAGAAGGTTGCTCAAAAATACTGCTGCAATGCTTTCCTTAGAGTGATAGAATGATTGTTTCTTTAAACAAGACCACCTGAGGGATTATTTTTTAAAGTATATAGAAAGCACTTATGTTTATTGCTCAGGCTTGTTCTCGTGACTTTTATTCCCATCTATATTGCAGTTTGGTGGTGAGTTCGGTGGTTGGTGGAACAAGACTTCTACCCCCATAGTAATTTCCAAGGTTTCAGAACTGTTCTTATTCAACATAAAGATAAATTTAAAATCTGGGATTGTCACATCTGGGAATTGGAGAGAAATGGGTAATCTAGAGAATGGTTAAATAATTATCTGAAACGACTCAGAAGAAAGTATTTAGATCTGTTCAGACTAGAGATGCTTATTCTCTCTGTTGACTAATGAGAACCTCAAAGACTAGGTTAGGAGCAGTTATCTACATTGTTGTAATTTCTAGTGAAGTGAAATGAATACTAGTCTTTGTGGAAAGACCTTGCTGCCTTCAATGGGTCACCGTTATTATTATGCAAAATGGAACGGCTCTTTGGACTTCAAGACAAGAGCTGACAGGCATGGTTTAACAACAGCATCATTCAACAATTCCATTTGCCAGAGTGCAGACTGGGGCTTAGGCCAGAAATAAATTTTGGAGGGAACGTGGGAAGTCTGAACTTTGGATAGTTGAGCAGGCACGAGTAAATGCAAGCTATGCCTAGGTTTGGATTATTCTGTTTTAGAGATTAGGAAAGGCTTGTTGGACCTCAAAAGAGTCCTATCATCTTTTCTTCTATATCCTGTGCTCTGTCTTTGCTTGTCAAAGCTTAATTTTAACCCCGAGCACTACAGGGCTCTGAAGACAGCTAGGGCATCTCAGTACAACAGTAAATCATTAAAAGCCACATAAGGATGATACAGCAGTTATCTCACAAGCCTGTCCTGCCATCAAGGAGTGTCAGTAAACTGCAGTGCTCTAACGTGCACAGGGACAGTAAGGGGATATTTCAGTTGTCCTGGTGATCCTGGCAGATAGCAAAGACTTAACCTTTGCTCATACCCCAGACAGCAAATCCTGACTCGCTTTGCTCTAATGTGCTGAGAAGGAAGGAAGTAATGAAATGTCTCATTATACAACTGACTCGAGTAATATATTTAGAACTGACAGTAGTGCTGCAGACTGCACAGTTACATACCAAAAGGAATGACATGCTCTGGGTTGCCTCACTGCAGCCAATGGTCAACTAAAACTATTTATTGAATAAGGCCCCTGAATATTACTTCTTTTCCTGAAGCACCAGGAATTCATTGCAGTGATAGAACAATTAATTTGGGTAATCAGAATACTTCAGTTATACACTGCCATTGCCCAGGTTTATTTTACATTTCAGTGGTCTAAACTGTAGGGTTTTCAGGGTCTAAACTTGTATGAATTTCATTATAGGAGAACAATAACTACAATAATGTGTAACATAATCATTGTGTTGAAAAGACACAAGCTCCTAAATAACTATTTCATCTAGAGGAAAGCAAAGAAGAATCAAATGTTGGAAACTGAAGGTAGACAAATCTAATTTAAAAGCAAAGCGTCATGTTTTTAATAATTCTAGGTGTTAACCATACATGTAAACTTCTGTGTGATTCAATACTTGACACATTCATATCATAGCTGGCTGCTTTTCTACATGAGGTGTTGCGTTTTTCTTCATTATTGGGTTTAGGTAGACATACAGATATTTGACAACCCTCATACATAACCTGCTCTTTCAGCCTTTATACTTCCTGAAGCTCTTCTATTACTGAATTAGGGATCTAGGTACTTTAGTGGTCTGTGGTTTTAATAACATGTTTTGTCTGGGGTTATATAAAGCTTCATGTGCTAAAAGCACTTTTGACAATAGGCAACCAAGGGCCTTCATAGCTGATAGGAAATCCCAGCGCAGAGACCCAGGCCAAAGTAGGGACTTCTGCAGAATGATGGAGAACTCATTGACCTCTTGTGAAAACCAATAGAGGAAGTGGACATGCCTGTAACTGGTAGCCTTTGTACTCATGCGATTGTTGGATTTCCCCTACCAGAAAACACGCAGCAATTCCTCCAGGGATTTTTGAATCCTGACCCACAAAGTGCAACCCACCCATCCCTTTCTGAAACTTCAGGCAGCTTCCTTGGGTTAGCTGGACCTTGTTTAAATTGAATGGCTCCAGGCAATGGCCTATTTTCCTGTCCTTTCTTCTGACAATGTACAATGAAGGAAATGCTTTTTAATGGTGTATTATCAAACAGAAGTGTTTGCATGTGGAGTGCTCTGTCATGCTGTATGGTACTAACATGGGGCTTAAGGATTCCATACAATGCAGTGTGTGAGGAATTGCCACTTACTTTGATTATCTGCAAAGTTGTTAACAGAAGTCCCAAGAATAAATACAGGCTGGACAGAGAATAGATGGAAAGCAGCCCTGAGGTGAAGGACTTGTGGGCACTGGCTGTTGAGAAGCTCAGCATAACCTGGCGGTGCGTGCTTGCAGCCCAGAAACCAACCACATTCTGGGCTGCATCAAAAGAAGAGTGACCAGCAGGTTGAGGGAGGTGATTCTGCCCCTCTGCTCTGCTCTTGAGAGACCCCACCTGCAGTCCTGGATCCAGCTCTGGGATCCCAACATAAGAAGGACGTGGAGCTGCTGAAGTGAGTCCAGAGGAAGCCATAAAGATGCTCAGAGGGCTGGAGAATCTCTCCTACAGAAACAGGCTGAGAGAGCTGGGCTTGTTCAGCCTGGAGAAGAGAAGGCTCTGGGGAGACCTTAGGGCAGCTTCCAGTGCTTAAGGGGGCTGACAAGAAATCTGCAGAGGGACTTTTACAAGTTCCTGTAGGGACAGGACAAGGAGAAATGGCTTTAAACCCAAAAGGTTTAAAGAGGATAGATTGAGATGAGATCTTAGGAAGAAGTTCTTCCCTGTGAGGGTGGTGAGGCGCCGGCACAGGTTGCTCAGAGAAGCTGGGGCTGCCCCATCCCTGGCAGTGCTCAAGGCCAGGCTGGACGGGGCTTGGAGCAACCTGGTCTAGTGGAAAGTGTCCTTGCCTGTTGCAGGGGATTGGAACTGGATAAGCTTTAAGCTCCCTCCTAACACAAACCATTCTGAGATTCTAATAGCAACAACACAACCTTTGTATTGAAGATGTACTGACCCAAAGTTCCTGTTCCAAGGAGCAGGAGAAGCAGTAGAATCATAGAATTGTTAGTGTTGGAAAGGATGTGCTATATTGTGATCAAAAAAATATTTGCTCCTGGAGCAAAGAGTGAGATGTAGGGAAAGAGCTCCAGGAGCTTTTCTTCACTGGGGAGATGGGCTATAATATACTGCCTTTTTTCATGTTCTCATGCTCCTTTCACTTATTGCTCTACTTACTTAGTACTCACTTTATATACAAGAGAAAGGAAGCCTGATACAGGTAGGTGTTAGGATAATAAACTTGCTTAGGAAGACGTGGATTTAAAAGCCTTGCTTTGACAGCAAATGTCATGTATGATATTAAGGTACAATACCTGGGGCAGGTCCTCCAAGGTGTTTTCCATGCTTATGAAGG